CACTCCCATCCTAAAATGAACCCTGTTTGTCGTTCGAAACTTCCCGTTAACCACGTTTGAGAGGGACATTACAACTAGAAACAAAGTTTTGCATGCGCTGGAGGGTTGAGGTTAGGATGGGGGTGAGGGGAAGGTTAAATAGCAAGAGGGTAAAGATCAGAATCCGGTGAAATCTCCGTTTTCCCGGGTTAGGGCGTGCCAACGCACTGGGGCTCTCAAAGCGTCGGAAACATACGTTTGGTCACCCATCGCCATTTTTCAACTTTTCGGGTGTGAGAATGTGTTGATTTAATATAGTGTAATGTTGCTTTGGATGGTAAAAAGAGCAGGAGACTAAAATTTACTTTGGAAAATGTGTGTGTGTGTGTGTGTGTGTGTGTGTGTGTGTGTGTGTGTGTGTGTGTGTGTGTGTGTGTGTGTGTGTGTGTGTGTGTGTGTGTGTGTGTTTGTGTGTGTGTGTGTGTGTGTGTGTGTGTGTATGTGTTTGTGTGTGTGTGCAGATTTAGGCAATTATAAGACAGGAATCTGAGTAGAAATTACATTTATTATAATTTCTATTATACAATCTAAGTTCACACAAGCAGCTCATCATATGATGTTTTTAGCATTTTGATTTTGCTGCAGAAATGCCATGCATGGACCGTAACCGGCCCCTTGCCCTCAGTTTAAGTATCACTCAGCTTTATGTCACTTTGAGCCAAAACTACAAGGAGCCACTTCAGAGGGGCGCTAGAGTCCCATGTGGCTCCAGAGCTGCAGGGTTTAAAATTTGTTTTTTTCAAAGTGAGAATTTACTCATAAAACAGTAACGGAGGCAGTAAACCAAACCTGAACCTGATCTGGGAAACTGTTTATTTTTTTATTGTTTTTTATTTTAATGCTTTAAAAGTGTTTTTCCTCATGAAGTAAAACATAACATGTGTGACTATCCTCCTAACATGGACAGCTGCAGACTCGAGTGAAATTATAGGATAACATGTAAGCTTAATATTGATATAAGCAGCATTTTTCTCACTTATAATGAAAAGCTCACTAAAAATGTTAAATCTAGCCCCAGGGCTTCTCAAAGTTTTGTGGACTGTTTGTCATCACGACTTTACTTGTCCTCATTTCAGTTTTAATATGATTCAAATGAACATCACTGGACCCATGTGAAACACTGTAGTTCTCAAAAATGTCATAAAACAGGATTTAAATCAAGAAAATGTGCAGCAACATCTGTTAAATGTTCCCCACTGCCATTACTGACTGGAGTATGAATCTGAAAATAACCATATGTCTGCGAATAATTTAATGGACTCATGTTTTACATGAGATGTTCATTCGGGGCAGTAATTTGAACACTTAGATTAAAAATAAAATACTCACAGCTTTGTTTCATCTGATCACATTGTTGAAGGCTCCTTTATACCATTATGACTTTTATTAAAAACAATGTTTATTTAGCAGGTTTTCCATCTCGGGGTCTTGTTCACGAGTGAGGGTAGGAGGGATCGGGAGATCGACAGGCGGATTGGTTCGGCGTCTGCAGTGATGCGGACGCTGAGCCGATCTGTCGTGGTGAAGAGGGAGCTGAGCCAGAAAGCCAGGCTCTCGATTTACCGGTCGATCTACGTCCCAATCCTCACCTATGGTCATGAGCTTTGGGTAATGACCGAAAGAACGAGATCGCGGATACAAGCGGCCGAAATGAGTTTCCTCCGTAGGGTGGCCGGGCTCAGCCTTAGAGATAGGGTGAGGAGCTCGGACATTCGGGAGGGACTCGGAGTAGAACCGCTGCTCCTCCGGATAGAAAGGAGCCAGTTGAGGTGGTTTGGGCATCTGGTCAGGATGCCTCCTGGACGCCTCCCTGGGGAGGTGTTTTGGGCATGTCCCGCCGGCAGGAGGCCCCCGGGTCGACCCAGGACACGTTGGAGAGGTTACATCTCCAATCTGGTCCGGGAACGCCTTGGGGTCCTGCCGGAGGAGCTGGTGGAGGTGGCCGGGGAGAGGACAGTCTGGAGCTCCCTAGTTGGGATGCTGCCCCCGCGACCCAGACCCGGAGAAGCGGAGGAAGACAAAGACGAAGGTTTTTCAGGAACTTTGCATCCTGGAATTTCATGGATCTGTTAAAGCTGTGAATTCTCATTACACATGTGACCGATGACTGATGTGGAAAATGTAGCGAATTACGGATGCTCGCTGGTTCATTTCATGCAACGGACGTGATCATTTCAGCAGACATTTCAGGAAAAAGCAAGAATGTTTTTGCACATTTTTTATCCAATGCTATCATTAACATAGTCAGTGAAGCATTCTGGTTCTGTGCTGGATTGATTTCTTGTCCTTTGTGGGAAGAATGTTCTAAAATTTGCACCAAGCACTGAGCATGTTCAAAAATAAATATGCACTGGTTCTCTGATTTGGAGACTTGTTAAAAAAAAACCTCAGATAAAAATTTACTAACTAAAAAGTTATTTGGAAAAGAGTAGAATGCCTTCTACTGTCAGGGATGAGGTCCTGCTACAAGTGGAGGAGTTTAAGTATCTCGGGGTCTCGTTCACGAGTGAGGGAAAGATGGGGCGGGAAAACGACAGGTGGAGTGGTGCTGCGTCTGCAGTGATGCGGGCATTGTACCGATCTGTCACTGAGCCAAAGGGAAAAGCTTTTTAATTACCGGTCAATCTACGTTCCTACCCTCACCTATGGTCACATGCTGTGGGTAGTAACCAAAATAATGACATTGACATGACATACAAGTGGCTAAAATGAGTTTTCTCCACAGGGTGGCTGGGCTCTCCATTAGAAATAGGGTGAGAAGCTCAGTCATTCGGCAGGGGCTCGGGGTAGACCTGCTGCTTCTCCGCATCAAGAGGAGCCAGTTCAGATTGCTCGAGCATCTAGTTAGAATGTCTCCTGGACGTCTCCTTGGTGACATTTTCCGAGCACGTCCAACTGGGAGGAGACTCGAGGGAAGACCCAGGACACGCTGGAGGGACTATGTCTCTCAACTGGCCAGGGAAAACCTTTGGGTTCCCCCAGAGAAGCTGGCCCAAGTGGCTGGGGAGCGGGAAGTCTGGGCCTTTCTGCTTAAGCTGCTGCCCCTTGACCCGACCCCAAATAAGCAGAAGAGAATGGATGGATGAAAACTAAATGATCCCTAGCAGTACTTCGTTTGATGAAAACTAAGAGGCAGGCAGGATGACAAGATGATTTTTGGCTACTGGTTTGAGTCCAGGACAGATTTTTCCTCACGGAATTCAGGATGACTGGTTTTAAGCTCTGTATCTGTTGCAAATATATATTCGGATTTAATTTTAATCTTGCTTTAGGACCAGACTTAAAGCCCCATTCCGTAACTTTTACACCTCAAATTACGTTTTTTTTTTTAAAGTTCTGGTGGCATACTATCATCGATTATGTTCATTTTCGGGGCTGTGATAGTGTTATGGGGTCCCATGTCTGTTTACCGCACTATACAGTTTTTGATCCGCCACCGGAAGTACTGACTGCGTATTGCTTTACTGGTGGGTCTCACTCTCCAAAGCAGAGACTGTAAAAAACTCCAAAGTCAATGCAGAGTGAGCAACCTGTGTCTGAGTTTGGGATAAAATTTGTTTTTTAGTTGGATAGCACCTCCCTTAGTAGAAATTCTGGGGGTGAATGGAGACCCATCTAAAAGGGCGGCCAGCAACTACAGCAGTGCTAGTCCATGGGGCGTTTACATATATATCTGTGGTAGATCCACGGTTTAGAGACTTGAGGAATGAGATCCACCAAAGAAAGCTATAAATCCTTTATCGGAGGAATCTAGGAAAAGAAAAATAGAATGCGATAGAGCAAGAGCAAAGACCTGAGTTAATATTGGGCCAGCTTTTCCTCGCTGGAGAGCTCTTCTTGAAAAAAGGTCGTGTACTACGGACTCTGACCTAGCCGTGCTGCTAATGGATAGGTAAATAATAAATGATTTCACTGGGGTTATTGTGTTTGTTTGGGCATTAAGTTGTTATACAGTACTGATAAAACTTTATTCAATGCAGAAGTGCAACTTAATCTGTTTGTTTGGGCAAGCAAGTTGGAAAAAAGCTACATGCCTCTTATGCATGACAGAGAGAGATTTGATTTTACGACAGTGATGTTACGCAGCAAGCCTGGAGAGGGCGACAGAGAGCATATATCCGCAAAGTTCAGGAATCGGGCTTTAAGAACCTCAAAAGCTGCTGCTTTCCATTCTTCCAGTTAGAACGTTGCACCCCAGGCTAGAGGGTGCAACTGTTTTGACACTCTTCATTCTGAAATCTTCTCACAGGGAACGGCGTGTGCAACTGTGGCAACTGTGACTGCTGGGATGGATGGACTGGGAATGCTTGTGAAATCTGGGTGGGAGCCGAGTACTGAAGAGGACAGGACACTGGGGTTAGAAACTGGAGATTCCTGCTGTCCCCAAGTGACCTTGACCTCCATCAATATCAGTCACAACCAGAGAAGACTCAAACATGGATGTAAATCTGCATCATCATTATTTTATTGTACTGGTTACAACATTTCTTTATTAAAACTGGATTTGTTGCTGAAAGAAATCATCTTTTTCAGTGTGTAAGCATTTATGTCTTGTTTTATTTTGTGGGAAAGGTGAAATATTTCAGATGAAAAAACATGGAAGAAAAAAGTAGAAAACATCACGTGCAAAAGTTGTAAATCACCACTAGTTGCTGTATATTTGATATTTTGTCTGAAGTGGTCTTTATCAGACATTCTGAAGATACTTCAATATTTTTCTGTGGACTTTGGCTTCTTTAATCACCCATTTTTGTCTAGTTTTTGTACTTGACATGAATGCATTAAATTATATGTATACAAAATCAGGAACACTCTGTTCTAAAAAAAGACTAGTCTTTTTGTGGGAAAGCTGTTATACAAGATAATTGTTTTTAATAACTGACATTATCATCTGAAAATGTTGACCTTGGTTATCACACACACGCACACACACACACACACACACACACACACACACACACACACACACACACACACACACACACACACACACACACACACACACACACACACACACACACACACACACACACACACACAGAGCTGGTAAAACACGTGTTCTTCACAAAGCCTATAGTCAGAGGTGTGACCAAGTCACTGCTTTGCAAGTCACAAGTCACAAGTCTTTCTAGTCAAGTCTAAGTCCAAGTCAAGTCCTTAACTTTGAATTTTCAAGTCACAATCAAGTCATCTGTCCAACTTCAGTTTAATGACAATGATAATAAATAAAGTCCAGACATAAAGCTTCTTAAAGCTTCATTTGTTTGCTGAAACAAGCAGAAAGTGCAACTGAACCTTATTATGAACAAAGTGCTGCTGCATTTAGCAGAACAAGATCAAACCCAGAACCAAGAATGATTTATGATTTTTGTCCACGTCGTGCCACTTTTGTGCTAACATATCATAGATGCTCAAATCATCATCAAGTCAACAGATGCAAGTCAATTCAAGTCGCATGTCTCATGTCAGAAAAAGTCACTCTGATTTATGCTTCACTGAAAATTTGCATTTATTGACTCATCCATTTTGGCTTGAACCAGAAGGCTGTTGTTCATTTAGCTTCCAGGAAACAGCAGATAACATCTCAGCTAGTAGAAGCTAACCATTGGCGTTACCAACTCCACAGCACAACTTCTTCAGGCTTGTGTTATTTGTGGAGATAAAACATCAATGTTGCACAGCAAGATGGAGGTAGTAGAAGAGTCGTGCTGCTGCTAGCCAATTACAGACAAGATGTTTTCATATCAGATGTTGCATAAGACTACAAATTCTGCCGTTTTCTGCTCCCCTATGCTCTAACTTCTACTTCCTTAATCACAAGCATCAGAACTTTTGTTCCAACAGAGAGCCACTCATGAAGCATTAATTTATTCTAGAGATCAGCAGATTCATTGAGTGGGCCCGCTTTAAAATAATATTGGTCCAAACCATTTGAACAAACTCCATTTACGTCTGACTTCATAAAATCAAAAATGCTACCAAACTGGCAGTAAACCGACTCCAGTTTGCACCCCAAATTGCTCTGAAAAAGGTTCATTAAAGCTCAGGCAAAAGGTCACACTTTCAATTCTTTGTATTCATTTTTCTTTATTTTTTTTTATAATAAAACAATAAATGTGCCGCATGACACAACATTTTGCATGGGAAACAATGCAGAGACCTTAATCATACATGGTTACAAATTTGTTATAACATGACATAAATCCAATGAGCATACTTGCAATGGTATATAATATTTATATATTTTTTAAAATAAACCCTTTTAATAGTGCTCATTCTCCTCCAGTTAGAAATCAAAACCAAACATGTCAATCTACACAGTCCTAGCAGTGAGAAGATAAAAGTAGAAGAAACAAAGAGAAGGGCATACATATTTCACTTGTGGCGCACCAAGAGATGTTTGTGTCGCTTCAAACGATGGTACCGAGGAGATGAGAGCCTCTCATGAACGAGCTTAGCCACCACTTTAACAGAAGACCAGTAACATGAAGAAAATGTTAACTGTTGTTCCTACTTTGGCCATTTCAGTGCTTTAACAAGCTCCTCCCTCTGTTTGTCTTCATCCCGTCAAACATGACAGGCGCAGTAATATACTGCACACATATATTGCATTGAGTATTAAGTTACTGACATTACAGTACACCTTTATATAAATATTTTATTTAGTATGTTGTATATGTGAATACAACAAACACAAACTGTATAGTGTAGACAAACTCATTGCATATATGTAAAAGTAGCGGTACACACCAACAGTTCTCGATAGACACAGCCTACGACATGCAGTTCGTCAATGCCATCCTCTCCCCATGCAACATATGGGACATTTTACATATGCATAAAATAAGATGAAATGGAAACAGAAGCAACATAATTTCTAAAATATTCATCAAAAAATAAACGAGAGAATAAAGCTAAACAAGCGATTAGAGATTTAGAAGCAACAACACACCCGTACACGAGAGAGATGAGGAGAAAAGGAAATGAAAGTCTAACATGACATGTCTACATTTACACACTGACAAAAATAAAGCCAGCCTTGGAGGAACCGGCAGGGCTGGAGCAGCAACCAGCCCAGCATGTAGAGTTTGTAGAGGATGACTGTCTGATAAGAGTGTTTCTGTCATCCCATCAACAGCTTTATTACAGACAAATATTGGTGTTGAAATGATGGTAAATAAAAAAAAATACGCATGTAATCCAAATAAAACCATTAATTTATATTCACTGTATCAGTTTCTTTACATAGTTGCACTTTTAGCAGCAATCTGCAGCAACATTCTAATTAACATGTTACGTTTTTGTCTAACAAACTGTGAAGAATTAAAGCAAGATGTATTAAATCCACCAGACATGATAATCGGACAACAGTCGTGATGAAGAATGGGAAACAAAGTGCAGTGGATGACTCTCAGACTAGTTGTGAGGGTGTTAAACCCTGCGACATGCCCATTCAAGCTCCAGTCCGTGATCCTCTTCCCACACAGAGGGAAGAACAGTGCCCAAACCTTAATCCCTGTACAAAAATACAAGCATGCGATTCATTTGGGCTAAATGTACTCTCAGAAATGTGACATCAGTCGAGACCTTTGCAGATCCAAGGAGAGAGTTGGATTCTTTCAAACAGAATGAATGTGATCACAGTGAAAGCTTTGATGATTTTAATCTGAGAGAGATTCAGATTTGGTGGATAAAAAAAAAGATGGAAAAGACTTTGGTTGTTTCAGAATGAAAGCATCTGACTGTGTTTTTGTTTTGTAACAAAAAATGCTACGTGTCCTCTACATGAATCTATTGGGTGAGTGAGGCACCTTTGGCCCAGTGGGGACTGGGATCTTGTTTTTGCATGCCGGGAATCAAGGTCCAAACAGGCACAAGATAGGCCAAGATGATCAGTACTGGACTCTCTGCATGCTGAGCTAGGAGACAAGTCCTCTCATAGTAGTAGTAGTAATAATAATAATCGTTGTTTGTTTAAAAAGTTAGGATCTTTAGAAGTCATTTCCCTAAGTTTTATACAATGTTACGCTATAAGCCATCTCCGGTATAACGGCTGAAAAAGGAGAACAACATTGTTCATGCTTCAGTTTGCCAAACCAAATAGGGACGCAGCTGGTATAAATGACACCTACAGGCTTTCAGCCACATAGTTTGCTTTGCTTTAGGTTGATGTCACTGCCATCCCTGCAGTTTCAGACCATCAAGGTCAAAGCCACAATCCTTGCCTCAAAGTCCACAGAAGTGAGTGAGTGAGTGAGGAACAGAGGCCTACAAGGCCTAGAGAGATTCCTAGAGCCCACGCTCGGAAATAAGATTAAAGAAAAATAGACTTCAGCTTCTTTATTTACCAGAGAAGGCGGGCTGAACTGCTGGTGGGACACAGTTAGTGATATGTCTACACCATTCCTCACAGAAATCTCCCACCCACACACATATCTGTTTAGAAAATGTGTGTGTTTGAGTATGTGTGTGTGTGTGGAGCTCTGTGCATTGATTGCAGTGGCGGTAATTAGCACTTCATCAGCTATGATTACAGGAGCTGTCTACCAGCCTCCAGTTTGTTTTTATGGTGCCATAAAAAAGCAACATCTCAGATGGTTTTAGGGGTTTACATGTTGCAGACAAAAAGTTAATTTGTACTGCTTCAGATGGATACATGTTTGTTTTTTATGGCCCATCTGTGTTGATGTGTGTTTTTTTTTAGAAAATCATACAACTTCGTGGCAAAATGACTTTTATCTTTTACGGATTCTTGGACCAAAAAAAATAAAATAAAGAAAAAGCTGTGACTAAAGATAGAAAGAGGAGGTGAGGGGAACGTACTTGTAAAAAATATAGGTCACTATAGTCCAGATATTTACTCTATTTGTACAGTCCCCATCCCAGAACATAGCTGGTGAACTGTAGTATAGAAAATAGATCTGAAGGTACACAGAATCTGCTGCAGCAGGGTGATCGTAGATAAGAAGGTTTCATCAAGCAAAGTACCACAAGCGTCACTGTGAAACATGTTTTTTTCACATGAACTCTCACAGTTTTTAGAGAAATCTAAAGGCATTCCATGATCAGAGGTCCTCTTCCCCTACTGTGCTGGATAGATAGGCTTAGCCACCCCAGAATCCATCCGTTTGCACTGAGAAAGCTGGAGAAGGGAAGGAGGAGGAGGAGTGGGAGGATATAGTAAAGAGAGGCTCGTCTGGATGTGATCCACGGGAAAAAAGACAGTCTTTAGTCTAGTTGGAGAAAAAAAGCCCTGCCTCCGTCACACTCCCCCCATTCAAACACACACAGGACACAGATCAGGTGTGGCTATGTGGTCGGCTTGTCAGGCTTGCTGACAGGTTTGCCTCCGTTCATCACCACTGGCTCACTTGTGCTTTTACTGGGAGGTACCGCCGCCTTGGGCAATGTCTCTCCGACATCGTGCAACGATGGCTCTCTGTACATGGCAACTGGAGGGTCAGGTATGAAGGAAAAGAGAGCAGAGACAAAGAGAAAGCTGTTAGCAAGAGGATCTTCTCTGCCCTAGCTCTTTCTTAAATTAATTCCCTAGAATGGCCAAATGTGCACTAAAATGCACATTTTAAGGAGAATATTTTTTGATTAAGTTACAATACACAAAAATAAATGAGAACCAAAGCTAAGTGTCACTATCCCCTACTTTAACGCCACTCCACCACAGCTGTATTACTGTCTTGATAGGACACTTCACTTTGATCTCCTGTTTAAAATGATGGGAAGCAATCAGGCTGGTGGCTGATGAGAGTGATGGTGGCATCTGCAGGACTATCAACATTTTATGCACTTATCTGCCCCCCCACCCCCACCTCCATCTATACTGTATCCTTCCAGCAGCAAAATATTGGACATTTTCTTTGCAGTAGATGTACCTCTGGTACATATAGAACATAATTTAGGTAATACTTCCTTTTAATTTATTTTTTCTCGGAAGGGCGAGTCCAATTAATATCTAAGGATAAGCCGAGCTTACCTTCTAATGGCTTGGGCAGGAAGTGAGCAGCTGGTTTGGTTTTTTTCACTCGATTCCCTTTCATGGCTTGTCCATCTTTGTTGAGCCCTAGGAACCACGCTCGCCCTGACTCCTGTTGTCTGTACAGCATGGACGAGTAGATCACGTAGTAATTCTCGAACACAGACTCTTTGAACTTGCATTCTGCTGTAAAGAGCTCCTGAAAAGACACACAATCAGCTTGTTAGAATGTTTAGCCAAAAACAAAACCGATGAAGGTCATTTGGTTAGAAGGTTGTTTTTACAAAACAATGCTGCAACGCCGTGGCGGCATCAGGGAGCCTTCGGCTGTTTATAAGGGGTCAGCCTGTGGCACTAATGTGCCGCAAATGTGTCCTAAAAGATTAGGCAATGGTGGCATAAAATGGGTATGGGGGCGGTCTCTGCGCTGTCGCGGACTTCCATTTATCTGGGCATAACTTACTTTTTATTGCGATTGAAGCAGCTATCGTTAAGTTTTTTTTAACAAGACACTCCTAATGGTGTCTGTCCCCCACAGTCTCCGTGCAGTCTCTGGTGATCTGACCTTCAGCTCTAACGAAGAGAAGCTCGTGGAGTGCTGCATTGTTTGGCATGAACTCCCCACATCATCATGACACCTCCCTCTGTTGTGCCAAGGCGTAATCACTGTTTATAAGACAAGCGAGGCGGAACCAAAATTCATGCACGGCACATTTATAAGACACACCTTTGTGGTAATATTACACCAATTTGCCGACACAATGAGTCTTGTAAAAAGGGCTACTGTGACATAAAAGGACAGAAAACCTAAAAATAAAAACATGTCAGATGTCTTTATTTGGAGCTTAAAGGACACCAGAACTATTGACTATCAGTCTAAGTTTGTACCAGATATTCTTTTGGTAAGTATAAAAATCACCAGGTAGAATAAACGTTGTCTGACTGTAATCATCTTCACTGAAATGTTAAGTTTCATGCTGCTCTTGGCAGACATGGGACCATCTTGTTTCACCAATGGACTCATACTTCCTGTAGCTTGTAGTTACACACAGACACCAGGGCACAAGCAACAGGCCAACTATATGTTTTGCCGGAATTGCTAGGAGGCTTTCTAGAACTTTTTGATTTAAAATCAAAAATGCATTTTAATTTTACTGTTATCTTTTATTTTTTTTATTTTTTCCCGTGTCCTGTCTGGCTGTGAAGCAAACAGAATTAATGTCTGAATGCTGGTGACAAGCCTTACAGATTTACTCTCAGGTGGAGCACCAAAGCTTCTGCTTTTAATGTCACGCCTGATACTTAAAACTTTACCGTTATTGTTTTTTGAATGCTTGTAATTCCAACCGGACACGGAGACAGAGGTGAAAGAGAAAGAAAGAGATGGGGGTTGGGGGGTGGGGTCTACAAATAAAAACAATCAATGATGAACAAGAGTCTGCTTCTAGACCTGCAGAAGGAGAAAAAAAGAAAAGAAAAGGGACACACAACAGGAGCAAACTATCACTGCGTCAACCTGATGAAGAAATATAAAATCAACACTGTTTTACTGAACAATCACGATAATAAATCACAGTGCATTAAGAGCCAACCACAGCCTTAAGCCATGTGTTGAACGTGCCCAAGTCCATACTTATGAGAGCACTATGTGAGCACCTGTGTGTGTACACGTGCTTGTTTATGTAAGGTTTATCTATAGGAGCGTCCAATAGAGAGTGTGAGGGGCCACAGATCTGCCCCCAAAAGATGTGTAGGAGACGGAAGGAGCTCCAAGTCTCAGAGATCCAGGAGCTGCCCCAGAGCACAGGGACCCCAGGGAGACTGCGACCAGAAAAGCCCCTGCCCCCCTCGAGAGGCGCAGAGGATTGCCCCAGGGGGCCACAACCAGCAGCCGGCAGAGCCCCGGGGGATATCAGCAGCAAGCTCACAGGCCCTCCCACTAGGAGTTGTATCAACTAGTCGACTAGTCGACTTCACTGCTCTGTAGTGACTTTTAATGCCTTTCATAGACTAGTCGCTGTCACGTGATAATGACCGGCAAGATGCAGTCTTCGGAAAAGACAGCAGGTGACAAGCCCCAGCATGTTTGGAGGTGACGCGCTGTGCCAGAGCGTCGGTATCTGACGCCCGCCGTAAAACGGACATTTGACCGAATTGTGACCTTTACCCTCTTGCAATTTGACCTTCCCCTCACCCCCATCCTAACCTTAACCAGCATGCACATGCAAAGCTCTGATCGTTGACGCGCTCCAGACATCTGCTTCCTGAGCACGGCCACAGTAACATTATCAAATTAGGTGTCGCCACTTCAAAAACTAATTTAACGCGATTGTTCATGTCGGTTAATTTCCTTTTATGTTTTTTCTTTTATTTGTGCCTGATGCGTTTCGCTGCTGTGGAGCGGAGCACAACACCTGTTTTGTCCTCCGGTGACACACCGTACCAGTGCGGCTGGTGCGCGGCGTGCACTCCGCAGTTTTTGCGGTCGGTGGATCTTTTAGAACTGCAGTTCAAAGGTAACTCGTAAGGTGAATATATATGAAGCCAGGTAGCAGTTTTTCTATAGGATTGAGAGGATAAAGGAAGATAATAAACAGAGACAGGACAGAAAAATAGTCAAATAAAAACAAGTTAGTTTTTGTACCTGGTGGTTGCAAAAAACAGACACCATTGAAGGTAATCAGAAGTGAGGAACAGAAAATGAAATACTTATTTTGATGTTTAGAGCAGCAGGAACTCTGAGAGACTGCAGGGGCTTCAGTGAGTTTGCTGCCGCTGCGCAGGGGGAGGGGGGAGAGGGCTGAAACAAGATGCAGAAACTACCGGTGTTAAAAGAGATGCGTTTAACTTAAAAAATGTGGGTGCAATTTTAATTGTCAAAAACTCCAGCGAACCAACCAAGCCCACAATGCACCCCCCCCCCCCACACACACACACACACACACAAACACACACATACACAGACACAGACTAAGTCCCCTACGACCCCTAGTCTCCCTCTGCCTGCTCCAATACAGTGTTGGTGCGTGTTGATGAGGTGTATTCGTGGCTGTGGTGAGCGGGCAGTGCAGGCATCGTCTGGCCTATGCCAGCTGATGCCACCACACCACCCCTCTTCCCCCTACAGCTCTCAGTGTCTAAGTGCAGTTTAAAATTGGAATTGGGCACCGGCACTTGGGATGAGGCTGAAAGATCCCTTTGCCAAATGCCGTTTAATGTGCTCACTCCCAAGGCCCTACGTGTGTGTTTGTGTGGAATGTCGTTGGTGGAAATGTCTAATGTGCAAATAAAATTGGGGGGCAGGCTGCCACAGGAATGCGGAAATGGGGTCCATACCGACACCCCCTGACTTGTCCACCCCCCAAGGTCCTATGTGCATGATTGTGTGATGATGTGAAGGAGCAGGAAGAGAAAAATGTTTGGGGATGGGGAGGAATGGCTGGTTGGACTTAAGCCCTCCAGGGAGCCAGCTCCCCCAATGGCCCCAATAGGCACCTCTGTTGCCAAAATGCCACCCAGGGCATGGAGACCCCAGCCCATCTTGCCAGGGCCCAAAGCAGCAGTATCGCAGATCTCCACGGCGTCTGAGGGAACGAACGCAGCCTCACCCCAGCAGAATATCTACTCCCATCCCTGCATTTGCACAGCTTCCAGAATATATAAGACATAGGACATCCAGGTAAGGTTGGGGCTTCCCCCTCCTGGACATTCCCCTCCCCTGTGATGGGACAGCAGAGGAGCCAAGGTCTACCCGAGGCCCCTGAGCTTGGACCAGGCACTGCCGCATGTTCTCGCCTTCTTTCCGGCAGCATACATGTCAGGACCCGATCCCCAAGGCCCCACCCAGATCCCCACACGGGGCCGGCCACCCCCAATACCCCGAGCCCCCAGACCCCCACCTAGACCTACTCAGAGGCAATGTAGCCGCCAGGCAGCAACCGATGGCCGCCACCAAGACCACCCCCGAGGCAGCCCAAGCACCTCCAGAGGGGGGCAGTAGCCCCCCAGCCCCAGATACCCCCCAGTGAACCCACGGTCAGGGAACATTCGGATACTCCAAACTCAGACCCTCCACCCCATCACCCACATCATCCTGCAGGACAATATCAATGACCCCCCCCCCCCCCCCCCCCCCCCCCCCCCCCCATCACCGCTATGTGATGGAACCAATCAAAGGAGCCCAAAGGGATTAACTTGAAGTGGAAGCAGAGGCTGTATCAAGTGCAATATGATCTAACAAAATATTTCTATAATGGTTAATGCAAAGAGTATCTCTATTTTTCCAATTTGTGAGGATAGTTTTCTAAGAGATGTATATGGAAGTCAGAACCACGTGAACCAAAGATGTGCTAAAATGACCCTTTACTAGGGTCTGCTTCCTGCACGGTCCCTGCATGTTTTGGATCGTGAACACAGCTGATTTGTTTAATTTAATGATGAATCTCTCCTGTAGACAACAATGAAGGCTGCTGGAGACATTTCAGCTATTAGATTAAGGCATTTAAAAGATGAACGCACAGCAAGGAGATACCTTTTGCTTTTGGTTCTACTAAATGGACAATAGTGTGTGTTAAAAGCAAGCCAAAACCCTCAAGTGTGCCTTTAAAATCTTTATTAAAGGCACTTCTTACTTTTACAAAGAAAAATTGGACTACTCCACACATAACCTAATTTTTAGACAGCCTTGCTTTACCATAACACATGAATGGATGTATAACTAAATTTGACCAATTTGATGTTAATATTAGTGAAAAATTAAGAAAACAAAAATATAAATAGATCTAAAAATATTACTGATACTTTCAGTGACGATGAAGTTGGTTCCAATTTCTTGTTTTCGGATAGAAAAGGGCAGTTCCAACCAATTTTCCACTCTCTGAGCATCTTTAATCTTTTAAACACGGTTTTTAATTAGTAAAACCTTAAGTTAATTTGCGAAAATAACTATTTTATTTTCTTTCACAAATATGGGAATGAAATTGTGTTAAAATGTACAAAACTGTGAAATGTATCTTGTTGGCTGGGTAGTTCTCTGGGTGCTCAGCACTCCCTAAACCTTTCAACCTAGAATTGCCTTAGAGGCTCACGATGCATGTGATGAATGAGAATCATGAGGTCAAAGGAACTGCCTGAGGGGCTCAAAGACAGAATTGTGGCAAGGCTCAGATCTGGTCAAGGTTTCAAAACATCTCTGCTGCA